GGATGAGAAAAACTACTGTATTTAAAGGACCCAGAACAATTTTTTCTGAGCAGGCAATGAAGGGTGATTTTGTAGATGAGGCAGGCAATATACGAGGTCGGACAAATAAGTTCACGAACTCATCCTAGAAAAAGTGCTACATACCTCATTGCTGAATATCACTATGGTCATCTTCGAAGTACTCCTTGGGAAGCTATGCACCAACGCCAGGATGCCAGCACCTAGTCCACCCTTCAAAGCAGTTTTGGAACTCTTTCTGGAATGGCCATCACAGCTGTCTTCATATTACCCTTTGATGTCCTGAATGTCAACAAAATGTCTTCCTTTCAATATTTCCTTTATCTTCAGGTAAAGAAAGAAGGCATTGGGGGCCTGATCAGGTGAGTAGGGAGGGTGTTCCAATACAGTTATTTGTTTACTGGCTAAAAACTCCCTCACAGACAGTGCCGTGTGAGCTGGTGCATTGTCGTGATGCAAGAGCCATGAATTGTTGGTGAAAAGTTCAGGTCATTTTCGTCTAACTTTTCATGCAGCCTTTTCAGCACTTCCAAATAGTAAACCTGGTTAACTGTTTGTCCAGTTGGTACAACTTCATAGTGAATAATCCCTCTGATATCAAAAAAGTTTAGCAACATCATTGCAACAAGTTTGCAAACTTAATTGTCAGACCTTGTATTTGTAATTGGCACAAGGGTATTTTTGAGACAGTGACAGGTAAGTTGTGTTAAGTGAAGAAGTCTGGCTTTGGCTGTAGCTGTGACTTCTCACAATGTAACAAGGAGGTCGGGCTATATAGCCTAGATGCCACCCAATTCCTAACGGTCATCTCTGCTCTGCTGGTTGTTCTCTATTGAGTGTACATTGCTTTGAAATAGCTTATTAGCCTGTTGGACGACATATTAGTTTTCAATTTTGAGGGGTGTTGAGGAAGTTTGTTTATTATTGTTATTATTGCCAATCTGACAAAAAATACTTCTTATTGAAAGTTAACTTAGGTTTTATGATTAAACCACGGCTGGATCTTGTTTTGGACCTAATGTATAATAAAAGGAGCCTTGCCATTTGCTTTGTCTAGGTGGGTTTTTGGTTATTCGGGGGGACCATTCCAACCTCTGGAACTTGGTTACTTACATTTAAAAATATTGTTTACATAGTAAGCCACAGCTGGGGAATAAAACATTTCTTTTTCCCCAACTTTATTTGTGCCAAAAAATTATTTTCATTATCTTCATAAGTGAAAGAGTAATAGACCTGGAAAAGCCACTCAGTAAGCCTCGTTAATACTTTTTGGTGTTAAGTCCCAGAAATTGAGAGTGAGGATGACTGGGTAAAGAATCCTATTGCAAGACAGATGGTTTTTAATTCTTTGCTTTCTACAGAATTAGAGACACTCAGTGGCTTTTTAGTTGATGGATCATTAAGAAAAAAGACTTCAAATGATGTATCACTTCATGATATTTTTAGAGAATCATTTAGGAGTTTAAAGAACTTGGTTACATTGCTATAGCAAAACTCCTTCCATTATCATTTACTTATTTATGTAGACAAAGTTTCCAAGCACTTGCATATTCGGAAATGAAGACTAGAAATATAGTTTTCATTGAACATATGTCATCCTACTGGTGAGTAATATTCATCCACAACACATGGACGAATTGAAAAAAAAAACCAGCCTCATGTATCTCAATAGATGTTTTTCTAGAGAAGATACTGTGATAGGCAGAATCCTTAAGGTGTGTCGCCAAGATTCCTGGCCCCTGGTTAATTAATCGTCACTAATCTAGGTACCACTGTGAAGGGACTTTGCGGAATTAAATTTACTAATCAGTGGACCTTAAAATACGGGAAGTTATTCTGGATTATCTGGAGCCACATGAAATGTTACAAGCAGAAGAGGCAGGTAGAAGCATCAGTCAGAGAGATGCAGCAGAAAAAGAGGCAGAAGATAGGTTGAGGGTGTGAAGATACGCGGCCCGGTTGCTGATTCTGAGATGTAGGGACCAGCTACTAGGACCAGAGAGCAGCCTCTAGGAGTTAAGGGTGGTTCCCAGCTGACAGCCAGCGAGGAGATAGGACCTCAGCCCTGTAGTAGCATATGCCTAAATCCTGCCTGTGCAAGTTTCTAAACCTCCTTGGGCCTTGCCCTTGCACAGGCCACACAGCTGGTGGTTGACACATCCAGGCCTGGAACCCAGCAGAGTGATTCTGGAGAGTGGAGATTCCATCATCATGGCGCTTACAGTTTAGTGTAACACACATGCAAGGAAAGGAAATACATCATTAAAATGAAAATAGATTCTGCGAAGGAAATGAAAAGGGGTTGTGGCAGAGAACAAGGGGGAAGGGGTGTGGGAGACCGTTTAGAGCAGCGGTTCTCAACCTGTGGGTTGCGACCCCTTTGGGGGTCGAACGACCCTTTCACAGGGGTCACCTAAGACCATCGGGAAACAAAAAGATATTTACAGTACGATTCATAATAGTAGCAAAATTACAGTTATAGAGTAGCAACGAAAATAATTTTATGGTTGGGGGCCACCACAACATGAGGAACTGTATTAAGGGGTCGCGGCATTAGGAAGGTTGAGAACCGCTGCTTTAGAGAGAGCGATCAGGGAAGTTTTCTTTGAGGAAAGTGACATTTCAGCTTGGATTAAATGAGATAATGTGTTGGTTAAAGGGAAGTCTGCTCCCCCTTCCAATAAATGTTTTTCTTCCTTTCCTTTTATATATTGCAATACTATTTTGCAAACATTTTCTTGACCCTGCATGACCTCTCACTGCTTTTGGCTACACCAAGAGATAAACGTAGGGGAGGGTGCACAGATCTCACCAAGCAGGGGACCTCATTTTATTCAGATGAAAGCTGTGGAAAATAGCAAGGACTCCAATGCTTGAACAGTTGGTGTATGGATGCTTAAACATTGCTTTATTTGCACATGCTCTCTTTTATTAGATAATTGAGAAAGCCTAGCTGTTTACAGGTGTTGTCACTTTCGTGCCTTTGACAATTTATTCGGTTTCAAAGGTATCAACTTAGTGCGGCTGTTCACAATGGTTTTGAAAAGGTGTTAAGACTTCTGAAATTCATCGAGGGTTAGCAGTATCTTTGCCTGTGCTTTTTATTTCGAAATAATAGCTGATTTCTTGGCAAACCCGTCATTTCTCATTTAATGGGGAGTACTTCAGTAATTGAACTAGCTTTTTGAAAGCTACCGTGGCAGCTAAGGAGATGATAATAGAAGACTAAAATAAGATAAATGGGGAAAAGGACACATCTTTTTCCACATCTGGTTGTTATTATTGTTAATAATCATAATAGTAAAATTCAAGAAATTGAAACTGTCTTTTTTATCGTCGTTTAAAATATCCTTGGGACTGTCATATAAACTAGCAGTTGTAATAGTGCCATGTGAATTATAGTATAGTAAAAAAAACCCCAAAAATGACAATTGTGGGTTCTGCCTGACAATTGCTGCCTGATATTTTGAAAGCCAAACAGTCACTTAAATATTTTTGAGCCATTTTATGAAAAAGAAAAAAAAGAAGGAACTCATACTTTTAGGTAAGCTTTACCCTTTGTCCTCCTCCTCTGGTTGTGACGTATTTCTGTGTAGGGTATGGTGGTTACCGTGTGGCAGGCGGACTCTAAGATGGCCCCAGCTCTCTCTGCCTTCTGGTATGTTCGTGCCCTGTGTCCGCCTCTCCTCCTGGGTGCAGGCTAGCTTTAGTGACTCGCTTCTAACAAATAGGATATGGCCGAAATCATGGGATGCCACTTCTGAAAGTGGGTTGTGAAGGACTGTGACTTCCATCTTGGCTGCTTTCTCTTAGATCCCTGACCTGAGGGTGACCATTTGCCATGTCATGAGCAGCCTTGTGGAGAGCCCCACATGAGAAGGGACTGAGCCTTGCTAACAACCACACGAATGAACTGGGGAGCAGATCTCCCCACATCCTTCCCCACGCTGTTGGGCTTCCAGATAAGACCATAGCCCTGGCTGATAGCTTGATTTTCTCCTCAGGAGAGGCCTTCAGCCGGAGGCACTCAGCTAAGCGACATTCTGATTTCTGACATACAGAATCTGTGAGATAATAAGCTCTGTTTGTTTAAACTATGAAATTGGAAGGTTTACTTGTTATGCAGCAAAAGATAAGTAATACACATGGGCAGTGTGATGGAAATGATAAATTTTGGAGTGGGCCCTATGTCTCTCTGAAGAAAGGGAGTTTTAATGACACAATCCCTAAGCACCGCTGTAGTGTGGTGCTGAGAGCACCTGCTGTCTAACCTCTTGGTTCTGAGCTTTGTTCATTTTCCTAGACTGAGGCTGAACCTCTGCCCTCAAGTCTCTTCATTGAAAGCAGTGGAAATGGAACCTAGCCAACGAAAGCAAAAGGAAATTGATTAGAAAGATATCCAGGATGCAGTGGATGTTGGAGGGGGTGCTGGAGGATCAACAGGAGACTTTGCGGCCAGGTTTTGGGACAGGAGGGGACATACAGGGTTGCAGAGGCTGGGAAGAAGGCGGCAGCCTTCTCCCAGCAGCAGCTTGGCTCAGCACCCAGGCAGGATAATATATGACCTCTGACGTTATTCTCTGTCCTTGCCTCACTCACTCAAGATTCAAAACCCCGAGAGAGAGCATTCAATTGGCTATGCTTAGTTACATGCCCAACACCTGACTGCTTTGGTGCCCGGAAAGGGCACATTGACAAACCTTTGGCTTTGTCAATGGAGGGCAGACACCAGGGGATGTACACTTTGTGGCAGAGGCTGTAAGTCTTTCTCTGTTCTGCTTTCCTTTTCTTTTTTAGTAAGAAAAGCTGGGCTAAAACCTACATTTTTCTCAGCCTCCCTCACACAAAAGTATATATATATATATATATCTTAATTCTAGTCAGTAGATCACATGGGCAAAAAGGGTTTGTGTAACTTCTGGATTATATCCTTGAAAGGAAACATACTCATGCTTCCTTTTTCTCATTCCTCCTTTTTATAGCTGAATGTAAATATTTTGGAAGGCCATCTTTGACCTCGTGGACCAGGGCCATACCCTAGGGATGGCAAAGCAATACACTGGAAAGAGCTTGTGGGCTCAACACTATTGAGCTGACACTCAGGCCTGGGCCACCATCTCGAACGCTGTAAGTGAGAAATAACTTCTTTGTTATACGTGCTATATGTCATATAAGAAATAACGTCTATGTTATAAGATAGAAAGAAACTTCTATCTTGTTTAAATGAGCTCTCATGGAAGCAGCTCAGTCTGTATACTGAGGCTAAAGCCATTGGGGGACAAAGAAGGCCCTAAAAATTGGTGCCACCCAGATGGGGAAACTCATGCTGGACAGCCAAATTGTCCTCTGTAGCTAATGCCATTGCTTTGCTTATGGGGTACATACCATTTTGTGAATGAAAGACTTCTTTAATTTTGATCGCACTAATATGTTGGCAAATTAGAATTCTCACTTTGGACCTGTACCCTGGCGGCAAGTTCCATGTTTATCCGTTTCCCTGTCAACCAGTGTGCCTGCACAAGTTTTCACATCTTTTATCCTTTCCCCATCCATGGGCACCTTTTCATGAAAAGGACTCTTTGGATCATGACATTTTTGAGCCGCAGCAGACTTTAGTGAGCAAACAGCTAGTCCAGGGGTCCCAAACCAGTCACGTAGCACAATCTCCTGCGAATCCTGCTGAAAATATGGACTCCCGCCTTAGCTCACTCACTCACCTGCCCCACTCATTCAGCGGGGATGGGAGTTTCAGTATCAGCTGCCCTTTGTGGGCACTCTCCAGTTCTCCAGGAAGGTGAAGAAGTCCTAGTTGCTCATACGTGCCTTGTAAAGGAGTCTCCCGGAGGTAAAGATGCCGTTTTCCTTCCTAGTCTGTGGTGCTGCCCTCAGGGGTTGATCATTCACTCTGTCTTCATATGGATCAATATGGCTTGCCACCCTAGTTGCTCAGGCCAGTCTGATTCCTTTAGTACTGAGGAGCTGCCCAGGATGGGCGTTGCCTGTGCTTGTAAGGCCCCCTTATTATCGACTGCTTCCTGATCCCCCTGGGAGGTTTGGTATTTTGGACAGGCTCCCCAGAGCTGCCTGGCTCTCACGGCCCCGTGGAGGCTGCCATCTTCCGTGCCCCAGGGTTTTGTACCCGACGACTGCCCAGGGTGGGTTCCCATGCCTCCCTGTCTTACCCTTGGGGCACGGAAGTTTCCATACCCTTCCCATCTGAGGAGATCCATGCTGATTCCCTCCAAAGCCTAAACCATAAAAGCTGATACCTTAGAAGTAAGGGGCACAGAAAGCAAATGGAAATGGTCTGATGGGCCAGTCAGGTGGTAACACAGGTGAACTGCTGGTCTGCAGGGGCTACTCATATCTTGCTGATCTTGTTTGGAAATCATTTCTCAGTATTGCCCAGTCTTCTAATATTTCAGGGGAAGCTGACAGTTTGAATTTAAAATAATGTGAAATATCCCAATTTAAAAATATTGGCAGCTAATATTTAAACAAGAAATCACGCTATAAGTTTTACATTTCAAAGCCAGATTTGCACTGTGGGTCATTGGCTTATAACCTCTGGCTTGAATTTAGCAATACAGATCCTGGTGGAGAAAGCGTGGGGAAATCCTTTTAATTTCATTCCAAGGAGTATAAAGCAAGGAGAGAAAACAAATAAGATACCCATTACTTTCTCAATAAATCATCCTCTTACAGGGATTAAGTGACAAATTGAATAATGATCATATACAAAGCACAGTGTCTGGCATGTGTTAAGTGATTGAACAGTGTTTAACTTTTAGCTTATACCCTTGAGCCAATTTCTGTGCTATTCTGCCTGCTTATTTCTGTACTAGCACCAAGCTCTATAACTGTGGCTTTATAAGGTATTTGGTAGGACAAATTTTAGAAACGGTATACAGGATTATACTGAAAATATTTTAATTCACTCATGCACATGTTTAAACAGATGAAACCATAAGCATCCAGCTTTTTCACCAGAAGGGATTTTAGAATTCACTAATGAGGAAATTCAGGCCCAGAAAGATTAAGTGGCTTGCTTCAAGTTTTCCAAGGAGTTGATGGTTGTGTCAGATGAGAAGGGATGTGTTTTGACCTCTTGTCCAGGTCTTTTGTCTATCCTGAGCTTCTGTAACTCCTTGTGTCCCTTTGGTATAGCTGATAATTCCACCCTCCAAGCCACTCTGCATGAGTAAGGCATTGGGCACAGAGGATCCTGGATGCATGCCACCTAACCTGTTAGTCCATATTGGATTCGTCAAGTTACCCTGGGGTGGGGAGTGGGTGCCAGGCCCAGGCGAGCTGGGCCAGGGTGCTGAAAGATGCACTACTGGGAGGAGTTGGAGACAAATTTCACTAACTTCTTGACTTTTCCTCTGATCTGCTTTGTCACAATGGTAAAAGCAGGTAGACAAGAAGAAAATGACCGATGTTAGAGACCACTTGCTGGCTGCTTAAACGAAGGCAGCAACATGAACATATTATCAGTAGTAAGCGTAGACTGTATTTCTATTTAAATAGATCAAACACAATTCAAACATGATTTAAAAAAAGTATTTGCCCCTCGTTCCATCAAGCCAAGTACAATTCTAAGTATCTGTGCATTGTAGACTTCCAGTGTGAGTTTAATTTGCTTTTCTTCACTGGAGAACATTAGAAATTCACAGCTACAACTGGGACTCATACTAATGTAACCTATTGGGTGCTTATAAGAGCAGTTGGGCTATTGCAAATACTGCCTAGATTTTTGAGTCCACTCTCACTGGCTACTTTTGGGGGGATATGTATTTATATCTCACTATCATAATATCATCATCATGATAATATATCAGTTCATAAACTTGGGTGAGAAATAGTTGTAAGTTCATTATTTTTATAACTAAAACTAAATTTTAATTTTTTGGTGTTAATCTGCTGGGGTTTATGAAAACTTTATTTCATTCAACCTGTTTGGACTTCTCCTTTTCCCTCTGGTTCCATCATATTTGTGTGGGGCTTAAATAATACCAAGGAACTGGAAGGAGGGGCGACGTCTGGTCCTCAGCTGTCATCTGTCCACATTTGTATCCACTGAGGCATCTGTTAACATACCTGGTCCTGGCTGATGGTCCATGAGGGTCACTGTCCTATCATCCTCTGTTCTTGAGCTATGGGCCTTTCTGGTTCAGACTGTTGTTGCTGTTCCTTCAGCGCCATTCTCAAGGTCGCAGAATCATCAACTTCCAAGCCACTCCAGGGCTCTGGTGGTAATAGTGAGACCAGGTCACCTAGACCACACAAAACCATATGGGGTTCAGACACCCCCTTATCGGGAGCATGCCCAGGAAAAGTGGTTTGCAGTCATGAATGGGTATGGTGCTTACTTCTCTCTGCCCTCTGTGACTCTGCCAAGTTCTTCTTTCTACCATGAGAGACCCTCCTGGGAGAACTAGGAAGCGACACTGAGAGAGGCCTGAATGTTACCCCGGTACCAGGATTGCTCAAGTCAACCTTAGACAACCAGGGACGAATAACACCTATGCCCTGTGTTAGAGTAACTTGATAAATGTGATACAATTATATTTTTGATATATTACATAATGTTCTCACTTCTCCCATTATTCAGCTAGATTATTTCAAGTTTGTTGTCTTAGGGGTGTCAAAAGGAAATCAGGAGGAATCAAAAGGAAAAATAAAAGGAAGTCAGTTCTTAGTTTTTGAGCATCGAGAGCTAGACCTGTCCTGTCCAGTGTGGTAGCCCCTAGCCCATAGCTATGTAGCTGTCTAAATGAAAATTAATTCACATGAAATAAAACGAAAAAATCGAGTTCCTCATTTGCACATTCTGGCAACTCAGAATTCTGGATCATTTCTACCATGGCTAAAATTGGACAGCTCTGAGCTAGACCATAACACATAATGAGGGAAAATGAAGCTTTCAGCCTCTGGGACTTGAAAGGCTCTCCCCGGCTGCAGAGAGGGAAAGGGATGGAGGAGGCATTAGAAAGAAAAGAGGATGATAGATCATGCGATAGGGGTGGCGTTCACATCTAGAGGTGCTTGGTACTCACTGGGGAATGCTGTCATGGCTGGCATCTGGGAGCTGTGCGGGAGCTGAGTCAGTATCTAAAGGCCATCTGGTCTCCATACAGGACGTCACCACGCATGGCCTGCCTTGAGGATTGTGTCAGTTGTTTGTCCCTGTGGCATGAGTCACAGGAGGACTGCTGGTCCGTGTCTGGCTTCGAGGCGCTGACAGGATTCACTTGAAGTGTGATGCTGTGGGTGTTACAGACGATGCAGAGGATAATAGTGTAAATGAAGAGGGCGGCAGTTGCTTAGAGCTGTTTGTTAAAAAAGGGATGAACAAAGCCGCGGTCAACTCTAGAAGGTTCAGTGAGGTTGCCATTAGGAATTCTCTTTCAGATGTTCTCAGAGGGTCTCATTTAGTTGGCCAACCATTGTTGCGTCTGAGAGTTGTGGGAAGAGAAACTGCAGATGCCGAGTGGTGGACGAATGTAATGCCAGGAAGGTGTTGTCCTGAAACTCTGCCCCGGTCGAGTCTTTGAGTTGGAAAGCTCCTAGAGGTTAATGTGGGGATCAAAACTGATCTCAGGTTATCGTTGGGAGACTTCTGCTCTTCCTAACCCACATTTACCTGCCCCTACCCCCGCTTCCTGTGTTCCAATAGGTCACAAGATAATCTTCCCATGAAGAGGTATGTTCATATGTCCTAATGACCTAGCTTTAGTATATGTTCGATTATAATCTCCGTGAAGCAGGGACTGCTGTTTGTCTCATTTGTCCCACTGCCATTCAGTTCAGTGCCATACATCGTGAAGTGAATGACAGGGCAGGTGCTGAAAGGACAGAGATGGGAAAGATCTAATTATCAGACTGGGCCAGTTCACTAAGGACAAAATAAGCAAACAAACAATAAACTACCGTATTTTGCCGTGTGTCATGCACACTCGCATTTTTGGCCCAAACTTTCAGGGGAAAAACTTTTGTTATAATTTTTTAATTCAAATTTCTATTTGTTTACATTTGGGTACTTGTAGAAATTTTATGTAACAAATAATTACAAAACACAAGAACAGATCCAAGGTACAAGAAATGTTATGTACCGGTAATAAATT